TGCACCTACACCTGCCGCATTGAGGCAGTGCACCTACACCTGCCGCATTGAGGCAGTGCACCTACACCTGCCGCACTGGTCGGCTCTGAATGCAGCACAACCCCCCCAGCCAGAGTTTTATAACAAAATCACATACACTGGCCAGGTAGAATTATTTTTAGCAAACATATTACGCTTATGAAAGTCTACATGGTCCAGGCTTATTTATTAATTTTTGACTCTTGCCCCCACCTCTCTGATTACTTTACTGTGTGGAGATCAAAGAGCAGCCTTCTGCCTGTAATTGAATTATTTATTTCTTAGATTCTGTTGCAAAATTAATTTATATATATATATGGGTTCAGATTAGGGCTGTGCCATCCTTAAAATTTAAACTTCACAAGGGGGTGGGGGGGGGCTTACTCAGCCAAAATGGCAGCCAAAGAGATTCGCCAGCTGGGAAGATGAAAAGAGAGCAGAAAGGAGAACAGATGGAGGTGTTAAAGTTTCACACCTTGCGCTCCGCTCTGCTCCTGTCGCTCGGCCTCGGCGCCTGTCAGAGAGCGAGCTCCGCATCTGAGGAAACGGGCGGCACGAAGTCGCGGCGAATGCCGGGCCCCAGACGTCTGCCGATCAGAGGCTTCCGGAGCCTTCTAAATGGAGCACGTAAAAACACCTGGCCTAACCAGGAGTTCAGACACAAGCTGTTCACCCCCTCAAACACCCCCTACCCCCCCCATGGGTAAGGGAGCCGTGGAACATCGGGAAGAGTGTTTCGGCCGATCCTGTCCTACTTGGGCCTGGCTTTACACCATCATTTCAGACTTTGTTTTGCTTCTGGGTGGCGAGTCGTGAAGTGTTCCGGAACTTTGGAGTACTGCCGTTTCAAGCCATTTGTCACTGCCAAGAGACTAAATTAAAAATGATCTGGTAATCTGGCCGGCGATATCTGCTGAGTAAATTCCTTTAATAGCACAGCCTAATAGATTTTTTTTACAGTATCCGATTCTGTGCAAATTCTCAGAAATGGCCTGAGATGATTTGTTGAGGATTAACCCAGCGCAGCATGCTTAAAGAGTGTCTTTCTTTCCTGCAGGTTATCGGGGATGAACATTCCTTCTCCTATTGTCAGTAACAAGAACTGGCTGAGGCTTCATTTTGTGACTGACAGCAACCATCGATATAGAGGCTTTAGCAGTCATTATCAAGGTGAGACATATAATGTGAATTTAAATAGGGCCCATTGAATGCAGCTGGGGCGCAGAGCTAATGGGGGGGGGCGCCGCTGTCAGCTGTGCTCACCTGATGGAAAATGTTGACCTACTTCCACGCTGCTTTTAGATTGGCAGGCTGGCTTTAACTTCACACTCTTTTTAACCTCTATCATTAAATCCAAAAGAGACACAGATTTTGTTTAAAAACGATAATCGATAATGCTCAAAAATTGAGTTTTCTGGAATGGTCGATTCGAAACATCCATTTCAGTAGCTAATTTGCATAATCATATACGTGTCCCCTCATTACAATAACAGCAATGATTGACGATCTCCCTACAGTTTTAAGAAAGTATTGAACTTTTGAAATTGATCGCAGTGGAAGTGGTCAAATATCCACCCAGAGAAATAGATATTTTTGTTGTTCAGACTTGCATGCCTTTCTTAGACTAACCCTAATTCGGCAGCAAATAACTTGTCACATTTGAAATAGCTCTTTCCTCCTTCCTGAAGCCCAATAAGCCGCTGACACATGCTGGCTGTAGCGGATCCCTCCGGAACATGCACCGGCGCCGTGTTTGTGTGCTCACCCTGACACACATTTACCATAAACCTCAACGTAGCGTTTGCCCACTATATACTCAAAGTCTAATACCTTTGAAGGCTTGGGTGAAATGGGAAATTGTTTGCCTACCCTTACAGTGTACAACCTGAGTATGTGCAAGTGATATTGTGACTTATGCTATGCTAGAATTTTCTTCACATATATAAACAGACCTGTAGTATAAACGCAGTAAGACAAAGGATCTCAAGTGAAAAATTTGCTATTAAAAAATTACATGTGTATTCATTTTTTCTTTGTGTTTATTTCAGTTTAAGAGATTTTACATCAGAATAATTTCTTGATGTATTTTCTTAAAATGCTGTTTTGGCTTGGGTCTTTGATTTGCCCTTAGATGCTGCCAGGAGTTTAACTGGCATTAAAAGTCCCCTAAAACCAATGAAGGGGTGTTGTCTTGAGAGTGTTTGCATTTCTGGGCTTTGGATTTGGTCTCCTGCTGTGTCCTACAAAAGTGCATCACTGAGAAGGTCCAGAGGCATTTTGCTCCACGCTAAATAAGGCGCTGATGGATTGGGGGCCGTTCAAAGATGCAGCAATACTTGTAGGCAAAGACTGACTAAACCGGGCCAATAAATCCTTCTGTCAGACGCATCTCTAGCTTAATGCCATATTAGAGTAATATGCTGTTATGTAAATTCAAGCATATAGCCAGGTATTAAAATTATGGATCTGAACCCCCCCTTGCTTCAGCCCCCCGGTCCGCAAAAATTTACAGAGGGGGACACCTCCCCGCCCCAATTGGCCAATTCTACCAATTGCGGACCATCAGTAGGATTGCTGGATGCCCATGAAATTAATTTTTGGCTGTGGGCCTGTGTAAATTACAGTTTAATTCCACAATTTATTATTATTTTCTATTGTTTTCATATGAGTGCAATATGCATGATTTTAATAATACTACTGTTGATCCTTATGCGACCTGCCCAGGGTGCAAAGCCAAAAGGCAGATTTACTTCTTCAGAATTCGGGCAAGGGGCCTATTTCTTAGTGTCAACAGGAAGCAGAAATGCTCTCGATGCCTGCGAGACGTGTGTCTGAGTGCAGGGCGCTGTCCCTTTCGCTCCTGCCGCTGCCAGCCAGTGTTTCGCATACAAAAAGCAGCATTTTATCCCAGGTCTGACTGTGCACTATAGTACAGGGGAACAAATCACATTTTCAATAAAATCATCACCTCCAGCTGTTAATCATTTCTCCACCCAGTTTGAAACAAATTATATGAGTGTCTCAGGGTACAAATAATATAAATATAATTTATGTGATTTATAGGATCTTTAAATCATATTTTTAATTTTATAAAACTAATAAATACGGACGTTCAGTATATGGTCATTGAGAGGCAGATTAGTAGATAGGAAGTTGGGAATCAGGTTAAACTTAACGCTTGAATGTAATGAGTTTGATACAGACTAAATGGAATGGAGGTATTGATCTGGATTAATCGCTCGTAAGGTGTTACCATAGATCTGCAGCTGTTTGACAATCATATAAAATGTGAATTACTTCAGTATCTAGATGAGCAGAGATGAGTACGAATATAGTCATTAATAAATGTCCCTGCTAACAAGCTGTTGCTAAGTAAATCAATAAATTGAAATTGCTTGAAAACAAAAACATATAGATATTAATCACTGCAATGCAACTCTTGGGTGACTATAAATTATCGCTTAAGTTACTGCCCCATATTTACTATGAGTTTAATGACTCCTGTCAGGGTGGTAACAGATATTAAGCTGGTTTTAATCACGCTATAGGGATGTTTTTGCTTTCAGTTATTTATTTTGTTGGTATTTAATGACCCCTCGGACACTGTGGTTGGTGTGGAGTCTGCACAAATGGCTCCAAACTTGAACCGGAACTCAGGTAGACGGACCCATATTAAGTCCCGCTTCACACGGCGGCTCCGTGTGGAAAGGTCCACGACTGACCCAACCTTCATTGTTCAGAACCTCCAAAGCTAGCTGAGCTCTGACCCATCCCTGACACTCTGCTGCGTCCCCATCCTGTCCTCGACATCCGCGAGCCAGGCGGTGAGTTTTTAAAAATTGCGGTGCTTTTTGACAGATTGCAGAAATGTGTATCTCATTCAGAACTACAGATATTTTTAACTAGGCAGTTTTTAGACTATTTAGCCTCAGGGGAATGGAAACCTGTATTTTTTTCTGTATTGTTTGGCTCCATAAGTTAAAAACACAACATGAAATGGGGCAATAGCTGTGCAACATTTTTTATTTTTATTCCACACTATGCACGGTATAGTGATGATCTTGCACTATTTATGTGTAGCCAGACATTCTGACTCACAGTTCCTTTGTAATTTCTGAAAAAATGGCGGTGGTGTGTGGTTAGGATGCTGTAGCGGTAATTGGGAGGTCCTTGGTTCAAATCCCGTGGTTGACTGTGCGACGGCACCGTTGGGCTGTTGAGCAAAGCCCTTATCTGTGTCTGATAAGTAAAATAGTGTGCAACTGGGGGAAAAATATGCACGTTCTTCTGATAGAGCTATTTAAAATAAGCTGTGTACCATCGGTAGGTGGTGTGCTGACAGTTATGTCGTGTTTGTTAGTGCCATGCTGCCTCATCAGCATTGCTTCAAACAATCAGCAGTACTACATGCGTTGATCACATATGGATCTGGGTGCACTGTACTTCACAGAGCACTGAATGTTCTGCCAGCCTTCATGAATAGTCCCAGAAAGGGCGAAAGGTGGCAGATAGTGGAAGCCAAGCTTTAGAATGTCAGAGCCGTATCCATATGAAGTCACGTCTTGTGGCGGATTTTTGTGGTTGACGTTTTATTCGGTTTCGGTTATTTTAATTTTTTTTCCCTTTCGTTTTCATCTCAGCAAAGCCCTTGATCTCAGAAACTCCTCTGGTGCACACGGCTAAAAATGGGTGACCCTGCACTTTGAGCCCTAGCTTTCCTGTCACCAAGTCGGTATCATAGGAGAGAAGCAGTAGAGACAGACAAGCTAAAGAACTGCTGTGTAGGTTAACTTGTACAAATGACTAATGAAGTATGATTATTTAATCACTACAGTGATAAAATGTAGTGCTTTACCAGATACCAATTTACTTCAGTCCTCCCGCTTGCCATATGTTGTTAACCCACATGTCCTGACCACGTCCATCTTTCTCTCAGGTCTGCCTGCATTGCTTTTCCGGCGATTCCAGCAGCACTTTCCTCTGTATTGCGTGGCCCTCATGAATGCCCAGATGTCCCATAGCACATGCAGCCATGCCATAAGTGGTCCCTGCCAAATGACCGTACCCATCTACTCGAAAACAGGATGGCTTCCCAGCACCTGGGCTGGTGGCAGTGATGCCGCTCCCTAGAGCTCCAGCCATTTTCATTAGCTTTCCATTTGATGGTCGATTGTTGCTCAGGCATGGCTCATGGGACAATTAGAAATAGCTCAACGAGATTTATTAGCCACCTGAAAGAATAATTAATTTGGCAAGTGTCCACCATGTCCCTGTCAAATAAGGTTTTTTAGACATTCACTTAAATCAAGTTAATGTTAGCGTAAATTTGTCATGTTGCTGGGACGTACCGTATTTCACACGCCATAATTCCTGTTTTCTTTCTCCGGTTTTATTTTATTTATTTATTACGCCAGGTGTGAAATCTGGATGGTCCTTTCTTCAAAAGAAGGCCTTCTGTCAGCAGTTTGTATTCTTATCATACTAGTGAATGCAGCTTAACCCTGCCTCCAAGAGATAAGTTAACGTTGTTTAAATGCCAATGATAACATATTTAAATAGACGGCATTATTCAGAGCTGAGATAAGACAATTCCGAGGAAAACTCAGCTCTCAAGGTGTGCAGCGGTCTGCCGAAAGACCATAAAGAGCAAGCACAACCATGCCATGTCTAGCATGTTCTGCTAATGCTAACTCGTTACGTCGCCTAGCCATAGAAAGAACACAATGGAGCCATAGCTGTGCTTCTTCTTTGTTTCCTTCCTTTGCCCCTCGTGCTCTGTGCTGTCAGCGGGAGAGCAAGGGCTGCTGGGAGAGCCAGGGTAACGTGCACAGTGGTCAGCGCTGACACTGCCGAAGTCTGCCAGTGACCTTTTATAAATATAAGCTCCCGTCTAACACCCACACAGTAGAAGCCTACGCTGAGAAGCCTGTGAATGTTAGTTCAAAGATGTTTGTGCCTTTCAGTTTATTTTATATACTTTATCCGTATTATATCTAGCATAAGAACATCTTATTGACCTGAATGTGAAGAAATGTCATCTAATGGAATGCATTGAGTCAACTATAAAATGTAGTCTGTTGATCATAAAATCTGAGTATCCATCCATTTTATATAACAGAATAAACGATGCTTTGGTGTGGCAATCCTATAGGCTATCCCAGAATGCATAG